GATTTTGTTCCTTTGACCGCCTTAAATGCCAAACCAACAACTTTCCAACTTTTAAATTTTTAAAAGCATAAATCCCAAGCAAGCTGAAATTGTTGAAGAAAATGTGTAAATCTGAATTTCATTTTTGACAAGGTTCACTTAGGTATTGAAGATCTGGTTCTTTACATAATTTGTATTACTATTTTTTCATTTCAATTTTGGTCAAAATATCCTGAATTTCCTATTTTGTGAAGGATTGATTTCAGTACTTGCTATATTTGATGATTGGTTGATTGTAGTAGTCATGTTTTGTTTTAGTTAGTAAATTATTTATTTAATTTGTAGTTTATTTCAAATTTTTACCATATCTGGCTCATATTTATGAATTGTTCATGAACACTCAGCCAACTTTTTATCTATACATTTTCATGGATTAATAAGTACTATTCACTTATTCACCACTTATTTATTTTTAAACAATTTCTTAATATATTTAGATACTTATGTCCACTGTACAAGTTTTTTGTGAAAAATAAGCCTACGCGCTCTACTTTTTATTTTAGTAGTTTATGTAGTTTTCTAACAAAGCAAAAGTCTTGAAATGAACATGCATTGTTTCAAGGGTAATTAGCAGAAATGGTCCCTGTCGTTTACATTCATTGCTAAAATAGCCCCTATCATTTCAAATTTGATATTGATACCCTTATTTTAAACCTTTGTTGTGGAATTGGTCCTTTACGTCCATTTCCGTTAAGTCCTCCGTTAATTGAATATAGAATGGTTTTGAATTCTTCTTTTGTTGTCTCAATTTTTAGGGATTATTACGGGATGTTAAACGAAGTCGAAATATTGTATTTTTAATACCATTTCGAAGTGCTCATGACCTAGTTTCCTCCATCCCTAACAGCGTGCGAAACAGTCAATCGTTGCGAAAGTTACCACTCATCGAAGTAGGCCTTTTCAAAATATATAAATGATTATTTTTATTTTTATTTCAATTTTATGGGATTATCACAGAATGTCAAACGAAGTCAAAATATTGTATTCTTAATACCATTTCGAAGTGCTCACGGCCTACTTTCCCCCATTCCTAAAGTGCGAAACGGCCAATCGTAGCAAAAGTTACCATTCATCGAAGTAAACTGTTCCAAAATATATAAATTATTTTTCTTATTTTTATCTCAATTATGCAGGATTATTAAGGGATGTCAAATGAAGTCGAAATATTACATTTTAAATACCACTTTGAAGTACTCATGACCTACTTTCCCACATCCTTAACGGCGTGCGAAACGGCCAACCGTAGCGAAAGTTACCACTTGTCGAAGTATGCCTTTCCAAAAATAGGAAAAAAACATTTATAAACAATTTTGGTAACTTTCGCTATGGTTGACCATTTTGTACGATGTTAGGGATGCGTCGTAAGAATTTCGAAATGGTATGAAAAATGCAATATTTCGACTTCATTTGATATCCCGTAATAATCCTGCATAATTGAGACAAAAATAAGAAAAATCATTTATATATTTAGGAACGGTATACTTCGACGATTGGTAACTTTTGCTACGGTTGGCCATTTCGCACGCCGTTAGAGATGGGGGAAAGTGGGCCGCTTCGAAATGGTATTAAGAATACAATATTTTGACTTCGTTTGACATTCCGTGATAATCCCGTAAAATTGAAACAAAAATAAGAAAAATAGTTTATGTATTTTGGAACAGCCTACTTCGATGAGTGGTAACTTTCGCGACGGTTGGCCGTTTCACAGCCGTTAGGGATGGAGAGAATTAGATTGTGAGCACTTCGAGATGGTATTAAAAATACAATATTTTGACTTCATTTGATATCCCGTAATAATCCCTAAAAATTGAGACAAAAATAAGAAGAATTTAAAACCATTTTATATCAATTAACGCAGGACTTAACGGAAGTGGACGGAAATGACCAATTCCGCAACAAAGGTTTAAAATAAGGATATAAATATCAAATTTGAAACAATGGGGACTATTTTAGCAATGAATGTAAAAGATAGGGACCATTTCTGCTAATTACCCTTGTTTCAATATGAAAACGTGGATCTCTTGTGGATCTTTTAGGAGTTCATTGGTGATTTATAAGTTAGATGGCTAGATTCAGCTAAGGCTTGGTAGTGACTGGACAAATTGTAAGTTAAATTTTCCGGTGAATTTTATTGAAAAGTTTGTCCGGAGATTTTTTTATCGGGTTTTCCTCGGTGATCATATCTGGCGATATTTAATTTATTGCTTTTGATTTATATGTTTATGTGATTGTTTAAACTTAGGATTAATTATTTGAATCATTTAGAAACAATAATTAAGCGACTTATTGCTTGTTACTGATTAATTTCACCTGTTTTGGTCATATTCCCCAACATGTTGTATTGTATTTCAAGTTGTTTAGTCCATATTACATAGAAGACGTTTCCTAAATTTCGGTAAATCATAGTAACTTATAATTTCAAGGTAATTCATAAGCACTTGCCTATTTGAGATTGATGCATATTATCGAGACAGTTCATAAGCCCTCACTTATTGGTACTGTTCATATTTTCGAGCCAATATGTAAAGCATTGCCTACTTGACAATTTATATTTCAAGTTCGACCCGCACATTAATGTATGATTCAGACTTGAAAAATTATTGTTATAACTATAAATTACATGGCATGCACATGATGGAGAGTGTCCCACATATGCCGACTTGGCATAAATTATTCAATTGGATTGGGCTTATTCAATCAAGAAATCTTGTCTTGGGCTTGGAGCTCAGTCCATTAGCCCACTTGACCCATTTCTTTCTTCATATATCTGTGATCTATTTGACACATAAGGTATGTGATTCTAATCTTAGCCAAATTCCCTCTTATGTCTATTACACTCATTCTCTCTTTTCTAACGTTAACTGACTTGATCGTCAGATCAAATAATATTATTCAGTGTGTACTTGAGAAAAATATTGTTGCGTTGTGCTTGAAACTAGAACAGTTTGCTATGAAAAAGAGTTTGACCAATAAGTAACACTTGAAGCAGCACTTGTATTCTCACCGTATGTCTAAAAGTACGTTTATTGAGGATTACTTGGGAATTTGTTAGGAAATTGTAGCTGTTCTTAAGACTGTGGAAGTAAAATATGGTGAGGAAGATTCTGCATTAATATTTTTTGTTCAATGTCGGTTTCATAAATGACTTTTATAAACACCATTTTTTATATTCAAAATACTCTCACGGTTGATAAAGTCTATAATGCTTTACTACCAAAGGAGAAGATGAAGTGTCTTGTAGGATCTAAGAAGAGGGTTTGGTTATTCGTGGTAGGAATCAAGATAGGAATTTTGGTGGTAAGATGAGGGGCAAATCAAAGTCTCGACATTGATAGAAGACATGTCACTTTTGCAAAAAGAAAGAACATATTAAAGCTGATTGCTAGAAATTAAAAAACTTGACGATGACAACCTGAAGATATAGGAGAATCCAGTGTTGCTGGAGATAGCCAAAATGAAGGAAAACTACTAGTGATTTTTTATGGTGGTTTCAATCCTTGTGTGGATTTGGCTATTGATTCGACTTGTACATTCCATATGTGTCCCAATAAGAACTAGTTTACTACATATGAGGTGGTTTCGAGAGTTGCTATGATGATGGGAAATAACGCATCTTGCAAAATAGCTGGAATTAGATCAGTCTAGAATATTCTACGAGGCTATCAAGACGCTTACATATGTGAGGCAAAGTTCCACACTTGAAAATGAAGCTAATATCCTTGAGTACCCTTGATGCTAAGGGATACAAGTACACTGGCGAATGTGGAATTTTGAAGGTCAGCAGATGTACTTTTGCTGTGATGAATATGAAAAAAAATGCTTAACCCGATTACAAGCATTAAAGGGGTCAGCAGTTATAGGAGAGACGACTGTCGTCACTTCTTCCTTGGGAGATGAAGTTACCAAATTATAGCATATGCGTCTGGGACATATAAGTGAGCAAGGGACGGTTGAATTGAGCACGAGATGACTTTTTGATGGGCAGAGTGCCAACAAATTGAAGTTATGTGAGCATTGTATTTGTGGAAAGTGGAAAGGGGTTAGATACATGAAAGGGGTTAGATACATGAAAGGAAGTTACAAATCAAAGTGGACACTTGATTATATCCGTTCGGATATATGGGGACCGGCTAGAGTACCTTCAAGGGAAGGTGCTTATTATTTTTAAAAATAATTGATTATTTTTTCAGAAAATTATGGATTTTCTTTTTGAATCAGAAAAGTGATGTTTTTGCAATCTCCAAGGAATGGAAGACAGTGATTGAGAAGTAGACTGGAAGGCATATAGACGTCTCCGTACAGATAATGGTTTGGAGTTTTGTTCTAATGAATTCAATGATTTCTATAAGGCACAAGGGATTTTTAAACATTTGATAATGTGCTTTACTTCGCAGCAAAATGTTGTGGCAGGAAGGATGAATGAGTGTCGCTTGTATATTAACTTTTAATACATCTTTTCAACGTTGTAGTCCACTATTGGTGATAGAAATCAAATCAACAAATCCTCTCACCTAATCAGGACTTTCAACTCATAAGCGCACTCATTTCAATGCTCAAATTTAGAACAAGAGGGTAAACTCACTAGTTTCTGTGGCATTAATGTTTATTAAATAGACATTGACGCTTAAAAATAGTCTCTAAGGTATTTTATAATTGCTATCTATGTGTCATTTATTTTCTTAAAATGAAAACTGAATCATATCTAAACATGAGTAGGAAATGTAACTTTGAAAAAAAATTTAAAATAAATACACACACACACACA